AGAAGCGACTGAGTGTGTGACGTGGGGGAATCTCGTATCAGAGCACCATGGAAAGTGCCAGAGCTTTCTGCAGGGTGGTTTTACTTGGGGGGGGGGGGTGCTTACCATGACTGTGCAGTCCTCGGACCCGCTGGCGATGACCTGGTCGTTATGTGGACACCAGTCGATGTCCAGCACAGGGCCTGTGTGTCCACACACCGTGGGGTAGGACTTGTCGATCCGGCCAGACTGTTGAAGCAGAACAAGGGTGAGCTACACAGCAAGCCCAGATTGATCAGCAGCGTGATTGTGTCCCCGCACACACCTGACGAGGTGAATTCCACGCAGGATGTACAATTTAACAGAAGCATTTAGGAGTTTTTGGGAAGTGCATTTAATAGAACTGAGCATAATAGTTATATTTTATTAATCCCTGTAGGGAAATTCTCTTTTCGCCCCCCCCCCCATATTACCCCCGTGGGACACACAGATATATTAACAGGTGAGGGGAAGCTTGGGGGTCACAGGGCAGGTTCAGCAGGCCAGGGGTTAAGGACCTTGCTGAAGGGCCAAGGTACATGTTACTATCCTGCCGAGGCTGGGAGTCAAACCAGCGACCTTCTGATCACAGACATAGAGACGTAGCCCAGTGAGCCACACAGAGCACAGGCCATCTGCCTGAATAAATTACAGCTCAGCTTTGCAAAAAACAGACCTATAAGCTGGTCTGGAAGACACTAAAAGCTACGCTATTTTCCTTATCCAGTTCTCCAGCTCTCCGAAGGCATTTGCCACTTAACACCTCCTACTCCAGCAGGGGGCATAGTGGTTAAAGAAAGTATGTGTTTCCATGGGAGTCCCATGAAGTGGCTGAATTACTGCTGCAGCTGAATAAATATGTGACAGTAACTTTGTTTTGGACAAAATGTGTCTGCCAGGCAATTAAAAACATAATCCTTTCTCAGATTCTCAAAACAAAAGAGTGCATTATGAAAAGGGAGACTGTGACCCCTGCAAATCAGAGTGCTGCACAATTCAGAGAAAAAAAGAAAAACACGGCGTATGCAGAAATCCAGTTACGGCACTGAACCACGGTGGCACCACATGGGCAGAACCTTCCATAGCTTTACTGCTGCAGGAAATGGGCAAGGACTGTATCAAGGGTAGACATGGAAATAGGAGGGGGAGTGCGATTCAGCCCGGGCAAACACTAGCACAGCACCAGAGCATGCAGCTCACAAAGACCAACCAGGCCGAACACACGCTGGCCGGCTGGGCGCTACGTCCCTCCCTCTTGAGAAGCCCGACTTGCCTGACAGACCCACCTGCAGAAGGCCGACTGTGCGCCATCGTGGCTGCACATCTCCCCCTCCCCTCATGACACACGTGATGTCACACAGAATCAACCCCATAAGACCATCCAGGCAGAATCAAAACTTTATTTTATTTTTCTATTTTTTTTGTTTTCATATTTAAGCAGATGCATAGGTTTCCTTCACCCTCACCCTAAAAAGCCCTTTTCCCATCACACAGAAAGTCCAACCCCCTTAGCAGGGCCCTTATATAATTCCTTACACAACAAAAAGACCAGCCCTCATTTCATGTTAAGGCAGGCATCCCCCGACCAATCAGCCGACTCTAAAATGACACCATCCTGCGGAGGGGAAGGGGGGAGGGGTTCATGACCTCCAATCTGTCACGTGTGATGAAAGTCAGGTACTCCCCCCAGCTCTGGAATTAACTGCCTCATCGACATCAACGTGGCGCCAAACAGCGAGCCCCCCGCCCCACAAAAAAACAGTGCCCGCAGAGCCAAGTAGCCTGAATAAAACCTTGCTTTTGGCAGGGGGGCACAAAATAATGTTTAATGAGCAAACAAACATCACACCCATTTACGCTCAGCATAAACTACTCAGATTTTACAGACAACATATGGATGGCCGATAATTCTGGGATAATTTACTACTGATGCCATGGAAAACACTGGTACAACCTGTGATGTCTGACTGGCAGGAGGCAAAAGGTGTGGTGAAACATAGCCTGGCCAGTGACCTGTAACACACACACTGGGGCCCAGTGAGCTTCGCAGCGACCTGTAACACACACACTGGGGCCCAGTGTGCTTCGCAGTGACCTGTAACACACACACTGGGGCCCAGTGAGCTTCGCAGAGACCTGCAACACACGCACTGGGGCCCAGTGAGCTTTGCAGAGACCTGTAACACACACACTGGGGCTCAGTGAGCTTCGCAGCGACCTGTAACACACACACACTGGTGCCCAGTGAGCTTCGCAGTGACCTGTAACACACACACTGGGGCCCAGTGAGCTTCGCAGAGAGCCGCGCGGCTCCTGTAAACACTCATGCCGCTGCCTCGGCAACCGGAGTTCCCAGGAAACACAATGCCATGCACATTCCAGGGCTACCACAAAAATTCATTTAGATTTTCACCCAGTCTTGTGCAACTCAGCAGCTGGGGGGCTGTAAACACTGTGTGACTAACGGTCTGACCCCAACAGGACCCGCATGATCGATCACAGTGGCATTTAACCTGACATCCTTTGCACGAATACACACCTGAATAGTGAACAGTTTCATGGGAACTTCCTCAGCTAAGGAAGAGAGTCAAATCTCCCAGTTTCGTTCATTTGCAGCTTTAAATTTCCCAGAAGCCAGCAGATCGAGCCACATTCCGGGTGACAGGCTACTGTGACGCCTGTCCCTCACAGCACGTACATACACATGCGGGCAGGCCTCAGACAGGCAGGCCTCAGACAGGGCCCGCCCCAAACACACACACACAGTAAAGCAGAGGGACAGGTTTTACTCCTAAGCAGGTGGCCTCACTTACTCTGCAAGACCAGGGTGGATGAAGGAGGGGGGTCGTTGGGAGGGGGTTTGGCCCATTTCCAAGAGCATACCCCATAATACAGAGGCAGAAGCACACACCCGAGGGAGGTAGAGGGCTGGAAGGAGCAGGCGTGCACGCGAGAGTATGTGTGTGTGTGTGTGTGTGTGTGTGTGAGCAGGTACACCTTACCTTATGGGTACACAATGTTCCCACAACGTGATGAATACCAGTTTTTTCCCTTATGAGGACCGGTTTCCTGGTCACCATAAAAGGAAAACTCAATTTAATAAAAATCTGTGACTGCAACGAAAAAACTAAAAATGCAAAAACTCTTGTATTTCACTTGGTTACTTATGGTTAGGGCTGGGTAGGGGTTAAGGTTGTCATAGTTAGCGTTAGTGTGTGTGTGTGTGTGTGCGAACAGGTTTACCTACCCTTATGGGGACATAATGTCCCCATAACGTGATAAATATCCATTTTTTTTCCCTTATGGGGACCGGTTTCCTGGTCCCCATAAGGGAAAACTATTTTATAAAAATCGGTGACTGCTATGAAAAAACTAAAAATGCAAAAACTCTTGTATTTTGTTAGGTTACTTATGGTTATGGTTAGGGTAGGGTAGGGGTTAAGGTTGTCATAGTTAGCGTTAGCATTTTTCCCATTGAAATGAATGAGCGGTCCCCATAAGGATATGTTTACCCTACATGTGCGTGTGTGTGTGCGTGTGTGTGTGCGTGCGTGTGTGCGTGCGTGTGTGCGTGCGTGTGTGCGTGCGTGCGTGCGTGCGTGTGTGCGTGCGTGCGTGCGTGCGTGCGTGCGTGTGTGCGTGCGTGTCTGGTCCTACCAGGTGTACTGCATACAGAGGAAATCTAAAAGAGGAAGCTCAAGTTCCCCTGGAGGGGACTTCTGTAGATTATTCACTTGGACCTAGTGCGAGTAGGGAAAGCCCAATCTGACCAGGGAAGGGAGGCACAAAACACCCTGGATATGTGGAGCACTGTGATATTAACAGTAGTTTAAATAAACAGTGACAATACTACTTTTGTCACACCACACTAACCGTACAGCAGCTGGATTAGTAATTGCTGCATCTCAAGCTGTGTTTGGCTGTTGACTCCCTGGGTACAACAAGTGCATTCTGGGAATGTTCAGGACCAAAGTACACCCCCAACTAGCATTTATGACCTGAGCAGAGTCACCAGCAAAAGTACCAGACATACCTTGCTGGTATGGGGCTGCGGGGTGCATGTTAATTGCATATCATTTCAGAGAATAAGAGCAGCGAGTCAGACGCACCCAGTCCACGTCCTCATGTGTCACCCCTGACGCATCCAGTTTTGAAAGAGCCATTACCTACTATAACCGATAATTCAATGATCAGCTGCAGTTTAAGGCGATTCATTCCTCGAGACCACACCTGCAGGTCTACTTGGATAAGGCAGACTACCTGGCATTGGGATTTGGAAAATCATGGCTCATTGCAAACAGGCAGTCGAATCAGTGAGATTCCAATAAATGATCATGGCTCCTTGTGCCTTGAAAGCAACAAACACAATATTTCAGGATTTCAGGTTTTGTTTTGACGTAAGGCATATAAATAGCACATTTGATTACTAATTGGGACCAGCTAGACCAGGGGAATGGGCCAGAATGAAAACCAGCTTGCACTCATCCATCCATGGTCTCAGATTCCCATTTAAAGGCAGTCTGAGCTTGATGAAGAAAAGGCCAAATGGAATGAGGTTAATCCCCAGAAGTCTCTGTACAGGCATGACGATTTGGGGACTAGAGACTCAGGACAGGAATGAAAAAAGGAGAGATGCAGCAGCCTTGGCAGAATTCTTGTGCTGCAAGACACCTCTCTCAGAAGGTTGTGTAATGACTTTTCACAACAACCATACACAGTGCACCACAGAACGACACTGCAAACCAACAATGCCTCTCATCAGCCAGCCATAAACAGAACCTGGCACCTCTGCAAGACAAGCGGTGAGTCACCGATGAACCATTCCCTCATTGCGTACTCAAGGAGATAGCCCTGATTGACGGGGGAGCGGCTCGGGCCACAGAGAACAGCCGCGTGAAGAAATGCAAACTATTTTCATCCCAGGATCAGAAATGAAGACGAATGGATGTCAAGATATAGGACAGTTGCACAGCATCATTGCACAATCGGTGCGGCAAAGAAAAGAACAATGGAAATATAGCAACTACATTAGAGGTCAATCTGCTATCCGGATGTTTGAGTGGAAAAATGTTGTTAAGTACTATGCTGCATTCAAACCAACACTGACACCAATGAGAACATGCAAAAACATCTCGTTATACAAAATGGGTGACAGTTTTGTAAAATCTCTAATGCAAAAGACATTTCAGGGGACGCTATACCTAGGCATT